AGATCTCCACACTGGTTTCAGGCTAATGAACACCTGTCTTGCTGTCTTTCCGATCCTGACTGGCTTTGACGTCGTCGTCGTCTGTGCCTGTACCTGTGCCGCCACCTGTAGTTGAAACAGTGCTGCCTAGATAAGTGAAGGAGACCACTTCCTTCAAGTTTCTCCAGTTGATGGTGATTGGAGTTTGTTGTTGTTGTTGTTGGTGGTGGTGGTGGTGTTGGTTGGGTATCTTCATCACCTCTGTCTTCTCTTTATTCACTTGAATGGTGTCACGTCTTCACTGCCACGCCTCTTCTGTCAACTTGTTAGTTTTCGCCTGTACATCTTCCAGTTTGTGCAACATCAGACACAAGTCATCACTGGCGAAATCCAAGTCTTCTAGGTTCTTTTTCGCAGTCCAGCGTATCACCCTGTTCTCACAGCTCCTCACAGTTTGTTGCATGATCCACTGCAGTCCAGTCGACCACAATCAAGAATATCATGAGTGATGGTAGACAGCCTTGTTTCACTCCTGTCTTCACTTCACTTCAAAGCATCACTGAGCTTCCCATTATGAATTACTTGGCATGTGGCATCTTCATGTAGTTGTTGAATGAGGCTGATGAGGGTTAGTGGCACTAAAACTGTGGTGTTGAAACAGCTTCGAAATTACCTCTCGGTCGACGCTGTCGAAGGCCTTCTCAAAGTCGATGAAGTTGAGGTAGACGGTTGACTGCTAGAAAAGCGATTAGACCACAAAAAACAACTCATTTCATGCAAAGTGACTCAACAGTGATAAAGTAAGCATGAAAAGAAATTCGTGTAGTGCTTTCTGAAAGTGTGCTCCAACAATTTCACACATGAACCTAACATAATGAATGAAGTGTTATACAAATGAAGCTTTTGTCTTCTTGTCTCTTAGTAGTGTTTCTGTCGTACATGATATTAGTCATCAGATATACCTGGTTTGACTGTTTTACATTGCAAACCGACCAAATAAATATTTCTTCACAGGTTGAAATTTATACAGGTATCAGTGTCTGCTGATATGTAAAATTATAATGCGTGTAACTTTTAAACCAATCATCAATCCTGTGATCAGTGGTGGTGACGGATATCCACTTCAATTGACTTCAAAGAGAAGAAAGATCTACTCAAAAAGCATTTTGCACATCATAAATCGTCATTATTACTGGAAACTACTTCAACCCTAAATATTCAAATTTTATACAGAGAAGAAAGTTGTTTATAATATGAATTCTGTTTCGTATAAGGATGCTTCAGCTTTTTTTCACTACCATTTCTCAGTTTCACTGCTGTTACAAATATAACTTTATTTTGTTTCCCCAAGTGTTTGTAAATATCATCAACAGAACTAGTGTTCATAATCCATGTGTAACATTTACTGGTTTACACTATACATACTTAAGTCTATACGATGTTGTTCCTAATATCCTCATGATGATGGAGAAAAAAGAGTGAGTTTACAAGTGAATAGGAGAGAGCACTTTCTAAGCTTTCATGTTAAGTCTGGAGAGAAATTACCAAACAGATAAGGCCAATAATTGTTACAGTGGTTTCAGCTTTACAGGCTGTTAAATTGTGAATAACGTTCAAAACTGATTTGCAATTCAATCATTGGTTGTTTTCAATTACAATTAACTAACTAACCGATTAATTGACTTACAGAGGTAAAAAAGAGTTCATTCTTTGAATTAGGCTCTTTCATACTGATAAAAACTATAGGGACAACTGAACTAGACGGAAAATATCTCGATTACCGTTGTACATTGATCAGGTTTCGAGCACATACTACTCTGCATCCTTGTCATAGTTTGAAAGGATAGCTTTTATGACACCACAAAATCTTGCAGTGATAACTTAATGAATGGTGACTAGGGATGATAACAGGTATTTACGTTTTAGGTATCGAATTTCACTCCTCTCGTTTTGAAATTCTTCTGTCGACATATTTAGCATAAACTAGATCAGGGAATCACAGTTCAGCTTTATTTTATGAATAAAACAACTTTACGCAATATTATTCAGATGTTTTATAGCACATTCATCTTTCAAACATCGATGAGAAATATTTTTTACTACACGATGATATATAATACCTCACAGCTTAAACTGATCATAAAATATCATGTGAAAATAATGCCGGTAAGGTTAATTAATCCATTCTAAATCTTGAAGTGATTTGTGATTTTGTAGTAACAATGAACTATGCAGTAATAATTAACTGAGACAAATATCAGTACACAGAAATCGGTCATCGGTAGGTAACCAATGCAACTGTCTAATCCTTAGCTTAGTCATTATCACCGATTAAAGTAGATTGATCAGGTTCATAACATCTTACCTATTCACTCGCACCATCTAAAAGCAAAATAAGGTGTACTATATGACCGCATCATTCCGCTTGGTGGTCACACTGCAAAACTTGTTCGGTCGACTGTGGTCAGGGCTAAGCACTAAAGGCTGGATAGTCATATCGATTACCACTCAGCATACGTAATCCGATCCCACAGGAATTTAGTCATGGCTTAAAAAGCTTATAAGTTAAGTCTGTGACTTTTAAATTGGGTAACAGAGGTTTGAATCACAGGGACAACACCACTTTACACATGGATGCAAATACGAACTAATGATGAGAGCCAATGAAGAAAACACTCACTTCCAGGGCTTCCTGAAGATTGACCTCCACCAGTGAGTATCAGAATATTAGCATGATGAGTGACGAGGTTCAGCAATGTGCTGAATCTCCCAGCGTTCATCATCCAGTTTTCTGAGCACAGTTTATTGTTTATAATAAAATCAAGATGGTCACAGAACATCTAGCTTGTGGTATTTATGGCTTAGCAACTTCCCGTTCTTTAGTTTCGCTGGTAATAAGATTCTCCATTTGTCTAGAATGAACAGTGCATCATTTCTGTTGCACATATTAGGTGTTGAATGGAAGAATGAAAATTCGGTAACCAACCATTTTCTTTCCACCTAAATTTATTGATTTTTAGGGTAACTGTCCTACTCCATCCATGCTTTACTTTCGCTTTCATCGAGAGATGACACATCGTCCAATTGGCTTCCCGAAGACTTTCACCAAGCGGCGTCCTTTCGCCTCTCCGATTCCAGCGAGGAATAAGTTCACTAGTTACTAGCCGGTCCTAAGCCCAGATAATGAGGGAAGGTTGAGTGTAGTGCTAGCAGCCGTACCCCATAAAACTAATCCAACCGCTAAAGAAACATATATATATGTCATCACATGTTTAATCTAGGCAAATCAGATCATGCTGTCCATACATGATTGGGGATACACAGTTATATTTTTTTACTGATTTAATTTAGAACTTCAGAAAAGCATAGACTCTGCAGAAACTCGTCTCCGAATATTACTTTCCCGTGGAGCTGAACACTCTTAGATATGTTTAAGGTTCTATGAGAGGCACACTGACTATAAGCTACTGAATTTAAATCAAGTAACTGTTTTTCAGTGGTCTCAAGCACTGTTTTTTGATCTAGGATGATACACTAAGAATATCAGTGGTGTGGGTCTCCTCTGATTCTGATATAATCAGCCACTTTTGTCTATCAATGAATACCTTGCCTGCAACTGTTTTTCAGTGCTTTAATAACTATTATATGTTCTTTGTCAAGACAAATATATTTCATAAACAGTAGACAGAATATCTCAGTTAGGTATGAAAATTAATTAAGCAGTTTGTGCTATCGCAGACACATTTTCATACCCAAAAGTAGATCAAAAGAATAAATAATTGTGGCAATAAAAATGGTATGAATATTTTTATCGTCCCTAGAACGCAGGCTTTTATAGTTGACACATTCTAATAATCCAATCACAAAGTAAGCTGCAAAAGATTGAAGTAGAAATATTAATTTTAACTCATTAACGTTTATTGTGGTCTCCAAGCCTTATCCTACATGGTTGTCAATGTGTAATGCAAGCCAATAAACAGTTCAATTCATGAAGATTTGGTCAACACTGGACATATATCCCTAACCCAGATCCTCTTTCAGTATCATCTACAGAGTTAAACGGAACATCTTAAGGGAACTGCGATTTAGAAACCTGCCAAAGGTAGAATCATCGAGAATTAATGTAGTTAAACCATATCTTTACATGCAAAAGATGAATGTTTTATTCCGTACCTCCTCATAGTCTTAAATCCTCCACATTCTCTCCTTTTTTCGACTTCACCATAATTAATTAGTTTACTAATATCACCTCCATTGAGACTCTTGGTTTTTCTCCACCTTGAAATCTATTACGGGGATACTCAATCATCATATCTCACGTATGCCAAAAATCTTCACATCATCGAACTCTTTGTCTTCCTCTTCATCGGAGTTGTCTGATAGGTTATTACGCAAGTCCTTTCCATTCTTTATTTCATTTTTTAACACTAGCTGAAATATGTAACTGTATTCTGTTGTTAATTAATAGGATGCTATATGTTTGTGATGTATTAAAATATGGTTGTACAGCTTCAGGAAATGACACTTGAAAGTTTTTGTTTAATTTTCTTCCTTTTCTTCACAAGTGAGTTTTCTAATCCACTTGAACTAAGAGAGAGTGAGGGTTTTAATAACATTATATATCGTTTTGTCATGGTTCTTCATACTGTGGAATTTTATGAAATACAGAGAAAGAAAAAATTTGCAGGTAAATTATTTTGGATGTGATTATTATCACTACGTGGCTATGTCAATTTTTATCGTTACATTTGGAATTCCAATGTACATACTTATAAAGCAATAATTTTCAAAGAGCCTTGTTTCATGAACTGTCAGTTTTATGGATGAACTTTTGGAAATAAAATATGAGTGACAGCCTTGAAATATGATGAAGTATGTTACGTTAAATGGAAATGGTATCGAAGAAAGATGAAGAGACTTTCAAATATTTCTTCATGAAAAAAATGCTCAAGACAAATGTTTGGTAACTAGAGTTACGTCATAAAACTTCAATGGCTAGGGCTGGAATTAACTAATTGAATATGAGTAAAATCCAGCCTTTTGTTGAACTTATAACATCAAAGCCAAAAAACTTACATTGTTGTTTTCATATGCATGTATTAGCCTTCAGAAAATCCGATGATAAAATATTGTTGCTGTTGTATTTATTTACTACTACTACTACTACTACTACTACTACTACTACTACTACTACTACTACTACTACTACTACTACTACTACTACTACTACTACTACTACTACTACTACTACTACTACTACTACTACTACTACTACTACTACTACTACTACTACTACTACTACTACTACTACTACTACTACTACTACTACTACTACTACTACTACTACTACTACTACTACTACTACTACTACTACTACTACTACTACTACTACTACTACTACTACTACTACTACTACTACTACTACTACTACTACTACTACTACTACTACTACTACTACTACTACTACTACTACTACTACTACTACTACTACTACTACTACTACTACTACTACTACTACTACTACTACTACTACTACTACTACTACTACTACTACTACTACTACTACTACTACTACTACTACTACTACTACTACTACTACTACTACTACTACTACTACTACTACTACTACTACTACTACTACTACTACTACTACTACTACTACTACTACTACTACTACTACTACTACTACTACTACTACTACTACTACTACTACTACTACTACTACTACTACTACTACTACTACTACTACTACTACTACTACTACTACTACTACTACTACTACTACTACTACTACTACTACTACTACTACTACTACTACTACTACTACTACTACTACTACTACTACTACTACTACTACTACTACTACTACTACTACTACTACTACTACTACTACTACTACTACTACTACTACTACTACTACTACTACTACTACTACTACTACTACTACTACTACTACTACTACTACTACTACTACTACTACTACTACTACTACTACTACTACTACTACTACTACTACTACTACTACTACTACTACTACTACTACTACTACTACTACTACTACTACTACTACTACTACTACTACTACTACTACTACTACTACTACTACTACTACTACTACTACTACTACTACTACTACTACTACTACTACTACTACTACTACTACTACTACTACTACTACTACTACTACTACTACTACTACTACTACTACTACTACTACTACTACTACTACTACTACTACTACTACTACTACTACTACTACTACTACTACTACTACTACTACTACTACTACTACTACTACTACTACTACTACTACTACTACTACTACTACTACTACTACTACTACTACTACTACTACTACTACTACTACTACTACTACTACTACTACTACTACTACTACTACTACTACTACTACTACTACTACTACTACTACTACTACTACTACTACTACTACTACTACTACTACTACTACTACTACTACTACTACTACTACTACTACTACTACTACTACTACTACTACTACTACTACTACTACTACTACTACTACTACTACTACTACTACTACTACTACTACTACTACTACTACTACTACTACTACTACTACTACTACTACTACTACTACTACTACTACTACTACTACTACTACTACTACTACTACTACTACTACTACTACTACTACTACTACTACTACTACTACTACTACTACTACTACTACTACTACTACTACTACTACTACTACTACTACTACTACTACTACTACTACTGAGACGACAACGACGACTATTTGATAATATTCACTGCTGCATACTCGTCTAAAATGAGAAAACTAATAAAGAAAATAATCTGTTTAGTTTTTTGTGCAGAAGTTTGACAGCACCGAATATATTCCTATTCCGAGCTTGACAAACTCTTCACTTCTCTAAACCTTTGCACCTAATAGAAAAAACTGCTTTACAGGTAGACCGAAAAAATCATCATAGAATTCTGTTTGTCAGCCAGTCGTGAGATATTTTTGGGTTATTGAATGTTTTAGGATTCAGTGAACCTACATTGTCCGTAGACTCTCATGTAGGATAATTTACTTGCGATTTCCGGTAGTGATATAGGTTCATATTGAAGTTTTACATCTCAACAAGAAAGTGCAAACTCCTACCAACCTATTCTCTTAACTAATGGTATCAGCTCGAGCCTATAAGCATGATATTTAAAGTCAGCATACATTTAATGATAAGTAATACTTATTTCAAGATTAGACTACGTGAATAAACGTAAAATATCCTTTATTAACTTAATGGTCGATCCGAGAAGCTAGGTGACCCATCATCACGGCTCATTTTATATGTTTATCAGTACACCCATTGATTTATTGCTAGTAGGGACAAAAAACGAAACATAATGTATCTAAACTGTAATTGAAGCTTACTCTTACCGACACATGAAGTGAATGAAAAACTAAAACTTAGCCGTTTCCTATACAAAATATTATACAAAGAGAACTCATAAACTTGTAAATATGAAGCTAGAGGAGAAATTTAATGAAAACAATACTGTACTCAGATATTGCTTATTTCATTCAGTAAGAGTATTCAATTTGGGGTTTTACAATCAGATTTCGGTGTGATTCGGTTCTTTTCGCTTTTACTTACTACATTTTATTTTTATTCGCAAATAGATTAGTACGGTGTTTAGAGTCATTTTTCAAACCTGAAAAATTTCTTACACTTCCTCAGATTCTATTTTCAATATTTTATTACTTGCTTTCAAAAAAAAGCTCTAATGGCTAAGCAATTGTGCACCAAGCCATTTTAGTAATTGATTTGTTGATTAGTGGTATCATCTATTAAAAATTTTGAAGAAAGAATTTTTTTAAATCAGTGTTGTAATTTGTGTGCACAAATGTTCGTTCAGGTGTATATGAGCTACTGTGTAAAACGTCAAGCTTCTATGATCCGTGGAATAATACCCTTTTTACATAATGATTTCGTAATGACTTTTAACAGAATGATAAACAGAAATTAACGGAATACCATCAACTACAAATGAGAGAGGTAACCATCTTTCTTCACTAAGAACTTCAGCCCTATAAGTTCTAATCTCTAAGTTCAATAATTTCACTGTTAAAAGCTTAGTTATTGCATACTGTCAGCCAAGATTTAATTTGGCTCATGATATTTTGAAAATTATCTTGCAGTCTCATGTGAGTTTTGTTCTCGACTTAGACTGTAAGACAGGTAGCCAATCAAAATGTTATTGCGGTCCAGCTTGGGTGTCTTACCAGCGATAAGATAGAATAAATCTTTGTATTTTTATGGATATTCATCATGTAGTCAAAGAATGCTACCTTAGAACAAATGATAACATTTTAGTCGATGCTTAATACCTTACTCGATAATACCCAGGCAAGTGATATATATATATATATATAAATTTCCAAGAAGCATAGAATTTGTTGAAACAGTTTTAAAGTAGGCTGATTTAAAACCTTCACCGGATTCCATAAATACAAGGAACAGGTGTTTTGCATGCTACGCTTATAAACATCCAGCTTATCATCTGTAAACCGTAGGAAAAATGACCTTCAAATTTGCTAAAACTAATAAATCCTAAGGTTTCTCTCCACCACTTTATGAATGTAAGTTGGATGTATTAAAAACCTATGTACATTTACAGGTATTGTAGTGGGCGTTGCTGATAAGAATGGATATAAGTAGTATATGTCGAGAGGGTGGCAGAAATCATAGGGAATTACCGGCAATCGGTAAGGATTTTGCCAAGAGAAAAGCAAGGCACAATAAAGGTGTATGAAGAGCAAATCAAGAGAGAAGTAGAAAAGGAAACGAAGCACATTTTGCGAATGACGGCTTTACAGCAAGGTGCACAATATCTAACAACTACCGTACCACTTAGTGATATAGCTTTTAGAGAATAATAAGTATGTCAATAAATGGTAATAACTATCACCCGTTGTATAAGAAGTGGCTATCGTTCCTACGCGGCATAGTGGATAACACATTGGCATCTGAAGCGATGAGTACGAGGTTCTAGTCTCAGTGGGAACAACATCACCGGGGTGCAGGTACATCCAGCCGACGAGTCCTAAATAGGACGAAACGCGGGTCCTGGATTCTTCTGCTAGCCACAATCAACCAAACTACTGAGCCGCTTGTTAACAATAAACATTCTTTCCTTCGTCTCGGTCTCCTCGTTTCCTACAGTATTAATACCATAGTTGTAATACGTGGGAGGCTTCTTAAGGTCCAAATCAGCATAGAGTTTATACCATGATTGATCACTAGATTAGAGAACGAATAAATGATTAAGGACAGTTCCTCATGATATGATTGTGCAAAGATAGGAAAAAATAAATGAAAACATATTTTATCTTGTTTTATTAGGCAAGCATGAGGTTACTGATTAAATCCTGAAGAAAATAGTCAGGATTTAAGTAGATGTAGATGTGACAAATGTCGTCGGTATTGCAGTGACAACGAAAATGTGTTCATCCTTCATAGGGGTTATTCATCAGAAGCCTATTAATAAGTACCAGTATTTCGACTCCGCTAAGTTTATGTAAATCATATAAGCTAATCTCATCAAAATCTTCTAAACATAATATCAACGAGGTACAAAGTTTTAAAATGCTGTAAGTGTAACAACCTGGGTAAATTAAACCTTACTTCACACTAAGTAATTATTGTTAAAATTTGAGTTTGAAGTACTAATCGCACTTAGCAGTCAGTGGAAAACTCAAATTCAATGCATTAGTGATCTGACTTTGAAATCATACATTGTTTGTTAACCGTAGAACAACCAGTTTCATGTCGTCTATTCCTGAATGCTGGACCAATTCTGTCGATTATTTTGCTATTTTCGGCACCAACCTAGAAAGCTCAGCATCGTGGTGCACTTTGATAGATAATTTTTAGCTGGGGACAATTCAGAGGAAGCCCCAACTGATCATGGTTTTGTGCTTGTTGGCACTCATCAGCAATGCGTATCTAATCCAGTCCCGCAGGATGTCAGTCGCTGTCCGAATAGCTGCAACAGTGGCTGGTGCGGATTCGAATCTAAGAGGAAAAGTCGCTTCTCTCAAGATTGCAGACATCGATTGACGAGTAGCAACAAGCACAAAAACTAAACCAAGGGCTTCCTACCGACCGCCTCCAGTCAACTGACATCTATCAAACTGCACCTCAATACCGAACCTCCTAGCTTTATGGCCACATTGAAGAATGACGGATAGAACCGCGTCAGCACTTAAAACTATACAAAATGAAACTGGTTGCCCTTCAGAGGTCAATCAATATAAAGTCGAGTTTTTATTTATGCTTCAAACCCCTCTCCGGTCTGGAGTATCTTAGTCCTAGCAACAACAAAGTATATATTTTTATTTATTGCTGCTAGAAAATATGAGTAGGCTAGGTAGAATGATAGTTATATAAGATATACAGAAACACAATGAAATCTGAGCAAACCTATTTTTTAACAGCGTTACAAAGCACTACAGAAACAATCGGTGGAAGGGTTATACAAAGTTTGGGTAGTCAGATATTTTCATAATTTCAGGCATCATATCATATGAACGTTCACACACTTCTAACCTAATATTTCTACTTATCAATATACTTGTTATTCTCCGCTGTTTTGTTGGATCGAATTGTTCGACCTCTATCGGCATATGGGCTCCTATGCTGATGCCTCGAAACTTTCTGAATATTAATTATGATAATTTGATGTGTTGTGGCTAGCAGAAGAATATAAATGTTTGAATGATCAAGTCTAGGTAATGAAAGTATTCTTTATCCTTATCTCCAACAAGCTATTCATTTAATTTTAGTGCTTTTTAACGTCTTATTTCATTTTCTTCCTTATTCTGTGATGCTGGTATTTCTATATGAAATCTTATAATGGATATGTCAAGTGCAACAAAATTCATTGAGTTTAGAGTTTCGTAGGGATTAATGATGCCCAAAGAAGATAGGGTATTGGGTCAGCACTGCTGAAAGTCGCTTACTAGGAAGAAACGGTTGTTCAGTGCTTCCATAGATTCAGTAGTTCCCCAACTGATAACTATATGTTATAAATACTACCCTGGAATTCATGTAAATTGATTTCCCACAAATTAAATAAATTTTAGTGACTGTTTAGAAAACATGATATCGTTATTCTTTTAGCTTATAAATAATCGAAACTACTTAACAGATTATAATTTCGTAGGCTTTATCAGTGAGTTGAATGTATGCAGATCACCAAACTGTATAAAAAGAATCCCCAAACGATGAGCTCCTAATGGTTCGATAGAAAACTTGTTTCCGTCAATGTTAACTGAATAAGTAGTTAGTACTAAGCTCGTAGTGATCGAGTGTTAGTTAGTTGTCAGAATTTATATTCATTTCCCTTGCAGGCACAAAAATATCATTCTACTCTCTGTCCACCAAGTAGAAGAATGTGCATTTAGAAGCGAACGCAGGAGGCATCCATTTATTATAAAAGAAACATTTTCTATTGGCTTCTTTCTGAACAGTGAATGACTAATGTAAATAGTTTTCTTATGATACGCATATTTTCTTTTATCAACTTTTAAAGAGTGAGAACAAACATTGGTGCAGAATAATGCCTATCCATCCTATCATTTCGTTAGTTCTTATCAGCTCCATACAACCTATAAATGTTTACAATACAGTAAGTACATACTTTGGTTCATTGGGGTCAGTCAAAATAGGATAATGAAACAGCGAAGTTTGGAAACTGTGCGAATTGAAATAAAGTTGAAATCCCATGTAATGTC